TTTGCGCTTGCAAGGCAGGCCACCGAACCGCTGAGCTAAATCCCCGGCCCAACTGACAGGTTTTTGATTAGTGATTCTCCCCCTTTGTAATTAGGCCAGCCACAGTGTTCCTTCCCGATTCAATCTTGGTAGTATGTACATATTTCTAAATGGTTGAATTTGTCCACTTCATCTAGGTTATGAAATTTTGTTGCATATAATTGTTTACAATAGTCCATTATGATTTGTTTGTGCCACGATTGTATCATCTGCCCTCTGATTGCTAATTTCATTTATTACAGAATTCTTTTTGTTAAATGTGTTTGTCAATTTAGCTTTTCAAAGAAACAATTCAGTTTTGCTTTCTTTCTCTTATTTTCTTTTGTTTATATCTACTCAAAATGCTACTTTTCCTTCTTTTTGCTATATTTGGGGTTGTTTCTTACTTCTGTGGTTTGCAAAATTAGGTCCTTTTAAATATAGGCACTTCTTCGTACTGCTTTTTCTACATCCCATAATTTTTTTCTACCTTCTTTGCTTCTCTCCTGCCCTCCCTTCATTCCTTTTGGTACTGAGGATTGAACCCAGACACACCCTACCACTGAGCTACATCCCCAGGCCTTTTTATTTTTGGAGATAGGGGCTTGCTATGTTGCCCATGTTGGTCTCAAACTTGAGACCCACCTGCCTCAAATTTGAGTAGCTCGGATTATAGGGGTCACCACATCTCACCAGTAGGGTTTATGTTTATAGACTCAAGCTATTTTTTAAAATTTTTTCTTTAACTTCTATTAATTTTATTGGTACATTTAATGTATACAATATGACATCATTTATTGTTGGAATTTTGTACCTTTACATAATCTACCTTGGTTTTTATTTTTTCCCCATTCCCCTGCCTCCCTTCAACTCCTCCCTTCCTCCCAACCTATAGAGACTTTGTTTCCATTTTCATGTTCTCATATTGAATCCATTCCCTTCTTTCCTTTCCACCTTCCCTCCCATTTCCCTTTCCTCTTTAGCCCTTTTCTCCTTATTTCACATTATGTATTATACCTTTTAGTCCTTATTTACACTTTATTTCTCACGCTAGAGAAACTATTTGGTATTTAAATGTGTCCTACTTATATCACTTGAGCATCACCTCAATGTGCATCCATTTAGCTATGTCTCTCATTTATCATTTCTTATGGCTAATATTCCATTTTGATTTCCCCTTTTAAACGGTTTATTCAATAATGTGTTGTTTAGCTTCTATGTGTTTGTGAATCCTCCTGTTTTGTGTTATTGATTTACAGTATCATCCCACTGTGGCCTGAGAAGATACTTGGTAGGATTTTAATCTTATGTTAGCTTATTTTGTGACTAACACACGAACTATCCTGGTGAATGCATATTCTGCTACTCTACATCTACTGCTAGATGGAACGCTCTGTGTATTTCTGTTGGCTTTTTTAGATTTAGTGTTGTTCACGTTAGCTGTTCTGATTGTCTGCTTGTGTGGTCTATCCACATTAAAAGTGATGATGATATATTTGTCTCTAGTGAGTGTATGACATAGTCTGTTTTGTCTGATATAAGTACATCTGGTTACACTTGCAGTGAATTATCTTTTCTAGCCCTTCAATTTCAGCTTATGTGTTCTTACCTTGGAGTTTTTGGTAGACTGTACATAGGTGGATTTTATTTTCTTATCCATTCAGTCATTCTACACTTTTTGGTTAGCAAATGTATTCACATCCATCTAAAGTAACTACTGACAAATAAGAACTACTGCCATGTTGCTATGAGTGTGATGTACAGTTATTTTGCCCCTTCTTTTATTTATTTTTGTTTATTTCTCTTTATCTTATATATCTACACTCGATTTTTTTTCCCTTTATGATTAGTTATTTCTCATGAGGATAGATTTTTTTATCTAAGGTCTGTAAAAATACCTACATCAATGAAAGATTAGAGATAAAAGTTTACAAGGAGAAGCAAAATCACTTTAATTGAAAGGGAAGAGAAATAGAGTACAGAATCACTTTATTAGAAAGGGGAGAGAAATAAAGATAGTTACCTTGTCTGAGTAAGGTAAGGAGTCGAGAGCTGGAACTCAGGGGATCTTTGTTTTCAGCCCCCTTTTATTACATGGCAAGAAAGGGATTATCCTCCTTGAAAGCTGTCATAACTTAATTGGTTACTTTGGGCTCTGAGACCCCGTAATTTGACCATTTCTCCTTCCATAGTCTACCTGTACATTTTTGGATAAGCACTTCTGTGGTCCCTTTGTCCTGTCCAGGGGCTTATCTTGTGAGATTCACAACAGAACCCCACATTCAAGGGCAAGTTAGCAAAAGGAGACACATATATATTCAACTATATTAATATGATGAGAAAATAACAATATGCATGTACTTATATATAGGTGTGTCTGGGTGTTAATGCATATTTTATATACTGGTTTTTAAAAATAGTAGTGCGGCCCCTCCCCACTTTGTTTCTTTTGTGTGTTTAATTGGAAGTGGAGGGAGGAGGGAATTGAGCCTTGGCATGAAATGAGCCAGGTCTTATCAGCTCTGTTTTGCTTAGCTGCTCTCTGGCTAGCAGAGGTTTAACTCTTTATTTGCCAGAAAACTCACTGAGACCCTTTAACTTTCCCTGTCTTCCAACTTTTCCAACAGTTACCACGAGGCTTGTATGAGTTTTTCGGAAACTTGGTAAATTAAGTTTTATTATATACAAAAACTTGAAAGTTTTATCTCCTTCTACATGTATGTGTATCACCTTCTTGAGTCAGAATTTACTATTTTATATACAAATGTATTTTTGAATTTTGGTGGTTAGCCCTAACATTTTTGTCCTTTTAACTTTTACATTGGTGTGATTTGCAAACTCCCATGACAATATCACATAATACTGAGTTTCACTCTGTACCTTTACCTGTGAGACATATTTTCGTATGTTGTCATGTTACTATTTAGCATGTTTGTTATTCCATTTGGAGAAGTTCCTTAAACAAGATGGTTCACTGGTAAGAAAAGCCTGCTCACTTTTTGTTTGGGGAAGTCGTCTCTCTCCTTCATTTTAAAGAACAGCTTTGCAAGATAGTGTGTTATTGATTGGTTTTAGTACTTTGTATCTCCCGGCCTGAAAGGATTTGGCTGAAAAATCTAGATAGCCCCACAGTGGTTTCCTTGTATGTGACAAGTTGCATTTTGCATTGCTTTCAAAATGCTCTGCTTTTGACTTTTGTCAGTTCAGTTATGCTGTGTGAGTGCAGACTTCATGTTCAACCGTTTGGCTCTTCCGTGTGTCCTAAGTGGTATACCACTTGTGGGGTTTTCAGTTATTCATTTAAATAAGCTCTGCTCCTCTGCATCTTCTCCTTCTGCAACTCCCACAATGCATGCACTGTTTACTTTTCCAGAAATTTTGTATAATTTCTTCACTGTTTTCCCCCTCCAGTTAGGTAATTTCAAAGGACCCATCTTTCACGGATTCATTCTCCTACTTGAGTCTAATATTGAGGTTTTCTGCTGTATTTTTTCAGTTCTTCAGCTGAAGAATTTATTTTTATGCTTTGTTGAACTGATTTTACTGTTTTCTTTTCCTGTTCTGTTACTTTGTTTGTGTTGTCAGGTATCTCACCAAGCTGCTTTACAGCAGTATTTTGCATTGACAAAAACATCCATTTCTTTGAAGTTGAAAGAAAGTTTATTTCTTTGATGGGGTTATGTTTCCCTACCATTCATATCCTTGCACTGGGGTTTGTCCATGTGAAGAAGCAGATTTACCAAATATCTCTGGTAAGAAAAGGTCTTCCCTGGTAGGAGAGGCTAAGGCACAATGTAGCACTTGGTCTAGAGGTGCACCTGGCGCCAAATGAGGGTGGAGAGCAGGAGAGGAGCAGTGGCACCGCAGCTTAGACGGCTGGAGTCTGCAACATTTCTAACTGTATGCACCGCAGCAGCGAATGATGTGGAGGTTCTGGGGTGCCCAGGCGGGCTGATGGGGTCATCGATGGGGCCCCTGGGTCCAGTGATGAGTCCTGCTGAGGTGTGGGTCAGGGTCAGGGCTGGCGACACGGACTTGTGCGGTGCAATATCTAGAGCCGACCACGGAGGTGAAGGTATCTGGGAACACAGCGTGGCAGGGGGGACGGTGAGGAGCGGCTGAGAGCGAGCGCGTGTGCAGTAGCGCACACAGAAGTGTGTGTGCGGCCAGCAACAGCCATTCACGAAACGGTGAGAGCTGGGCGCAGAGAAGCACTCTGATGCAGCAGTGCGGGCACGCGCTACGGCAACGGCCAGGGGCAGCTCTGTGAGCGGAGGGGGCCACGAAAAATTTTCACAGGTCTATGAGATGGCTGCAACTGGGACTGTTCGTGGGGCCAGTAGAATATATATATACTGTAGAATTAACCAATGATAGTCAATGATAAAATATGATCTTGTAGTCAACCCTTCAGGTTTCTAAGCAAACTTCATTCATTTCTGGTTTTCTCTTCCTCTCCCTCTGGTGAGTATGGTAACTGATTTCTTTATAAGTATTTCTCTATATCTGTCAGTGTCACTGGCTTCAGAGGTGTTGGGGTAGAGAAGGAAGAGCTAATTTTATCAACCTACCACCAGATTTTTAAAGGCCCACTAAAAAGCATTCCACTATATTATGTTAATCTCCTGTGGATCCAAGTGTCCTTAAGTGAAGTCTCTACTTTCTTAGGCTTTATGATGCCTATGATAATGTCAAAGAGGTTAAATTACAGAGTAATTCCCTTATTCTTTTTTTTTTTCAATTTCTATGCACTAACAAAAGCTATTTTCATTCATTTTAAAAGAAAATCATGCAAAGAATTCTATAAAAAAAAGGGATTCACATTTTGGATCATTCACAGACATGTCTATTTCTAGCTAACAGTTATACATTTTAAGTAACTCAAGCAGTTCTTTCAGAGAAGGAGTGAATGCTTATATTATATTCAAAGTGAAAGGTTTTAATGAGCTATTTATTATGAGCTAAGAATTACAAATAGCCTTTTCTGAGGGAGAGAAAAGTAGAAAATACAGTTGAAATGGTTTAAATTCCTGGGAAATTCATTTCTCAATAGTATATCTTTTTGTTCATTATCAAGAAAAGGGAGTTAGTATTAATTAGATCTTACCCACACAAGATAACCGTTCAAGCATTTGAAAAGAAAATTACAAGGTGCTTAAAGCAGAAGAACCTTTCTAGGAGAACATGTCCTTCAATTTGTAGATGGTGGTACGAGATATATGTGATAGAACATCCTTGTCACTGGATGCTGTAATTGTAGAGCAGAGCTTTGATACTCGAAACATAGCACATTCTTCTGTAATAAAAATAAGACCTGCTTATGATAGTTTACCACTCACAGTAAGAAATGAATCAAGTCTTACTGCTTAATGAACCACGTGTTTTTAAAAAAGGAATGCAGATATTGATCACATCAAACATTTTCATTGAGAGGTTGACATGGACACTCATATAGTTTATCGTGGATAGTCTCAGGTTTCCTGTGTGTGAGAAACAGAACCACAGGCCTTTTTGTATAAGTTCCTGTACATCTTTTCCATGCTGTTCTCAAAGATGGGTCGGTGGGATTTTCCCTTACAAGAGGCTGCCCTATTGGACCAGTATTCACCATCATCCAAATGGAGACTGCCATGTGGCTGCTGAAATGAGCTATTGAAAAAAAAAAGACATAAAAAGTTTAAAGCAATGGTGAAAATTAATTAGAGGTACTACTATATAAACCATGCTACATAAATCATGCATTCATTGAGTACTTCATGGGTATGTGGTTCTCTGTTACAGCTCTGAGAAACACAGTAGGATTAGTTTGCACCTTCAAAGACTGATTCTGCCAGGGGAAGTGAACCATTTATGTGAAGCAGTTCTAAAGCAATAAAGTGGAATAAAATAAAATTTTGTGTTAAAGTTAAAATGGAATTCAGAGAACAGAGACAGGTGCAACATGGTAAAAACAGAGCACAGATGGTCTGTTTCGGCCAGCATGAGAACACACAGCCTCTCAAGTGAGTATACCTGGAACTGAACCTTTTCTCAGCTGCAGAATGCTGAGTAATACATTTAACTGTATAGAATCCCAGATTTCTCAATTATATTTTTGCAGGTTTTTTTTTCAAAATTAAATAGTACATATGAAAAAGCATAGTAAAGTACTTATCTGAAACACAGAGGTCATTAAATATGAGGCACCGAATTGGGGTACTTTTCATGTATTCAGTTAATCAACATCCAAAACTTTTGAAATGGGTACATGTGAATGTGGAAATTAAGGCTCAATAATGTTAAGTGACTGGGCTTAGACTACTCAGCTAGTGACAAAATCGTATCTATGGATCTGAAGTCTTTTCTACTATGCCATGCTCTCTTCATCCTCAAGGTGGAATAGAAGATTAATGAGTATGTACCACTGATGAAAAATGGCAACGACACACAACAGTCTGAATTTGAATAGGGATCCACTATAGTTTTAAGAGTCTATAAGACATAGCAACTAGGTATCTAATGAAATTGATCAGGACCAGGCTAGGTATTATAGTAATAGGGAAGAAAAGGCAACATTTAAAAAAAAGTTGATCATATATTTATGACAGTATCAAAGTTATAATTTTACTATAATGAGCATTATTTTCCAGGCTTAAAATATCATTTTGTAGAGATAAATGTTCATTTCTTAATAGATTGAGCTTATTTTTATATAAATAATATTGACATATTTCAATAAATGAAGTACTTGTTACAGATTAGTTATCTGAAATCTGCTAGCTTATGAAATTTGTGACATATAAAATATTTCCTGTTATTAAATATGACATTTATTTAGCATCTTACTTCACATAAATAATTTCTTTTCCCTGGGTATAAGTCCTATGACATTATTTCTATTATCAACGTAAAATATGAACTCTTGGAGCTGAGTATCTGCAAAGATAATTTACTTGGCTCTATACCAATCTATCACCTGCACACACCAAAAATGGCCACAGAAAAAGACATGGAGTGTCCATGTGAATATCTTCAGAGCTTGACACAGTGTCAGTGAGGATGCAACATATACTCACTTTGGATAGAGTGTGACATGACCCGGGAAGGGTAACTATGCAACTTAGACCCGTTAATTCCCAGCAAAATTCTTACACATGTGTAATACCATATGTGTACAAATATGTTCATAATACTGTTTGTAATAGGTAGTAACTGCAAACAATGTAAACACACATCTACATTAGAATGGATAAATCACATTGTGGTATATATATTTATATGTATATATACATATGTATACATATATTATACACACACACACACAGAGGATATAGGAGGAAAAGTTAATGATGTGTAGCTACATGTTTCATCAGGGATCAAACTGAAAAGCCAAAGAAGTAGAAGAAAGCAAGCTGTGAACACTACATAGTTATAATTACATATATATAAAATTTAAAACAAGGACAACTGAATACATTTACATACATAAGTACATGAGTAGAAAAATTCTGCATGAACCTCAGGTGTCCGCAAATATATCTGTCAGCCTATATTCCACTGTCCTCTCATACAAATTTAGGAGTCCTGTATGTTGAGTTTTTTGTTGTTTAGTTGCTTTCTGTTTTTGTCTTCAGTTGATCATGTGCTAATTACAATTTTACAAACTGCTTATCTGTCCTTTTCTCACTGTTGCTCACTACCACCAATTTTACTGCCTACTAAGTAGGTAGCAATGTACCAAGATGTTTTTGTTTGGTTTCCACAATGACTCTAGAACAACAGATATATACAACTGAAGTTTGAATTTCTAACAAATATCATCACCCAACTCTCTGAAAGGTAAGTAATGGGAGGGCTCTAACTCTTCAAATCATGATGTGGGTTTTTTTTCCTAAGTTTATAAACCAAACTCTTAATTATTTATCATAAAGTATTATATTGTTATCAGATGTAGATTTGCTACTGCCTTGGTTCCAGTATAAAGTATAGATCTTAAAGCTGCCACAACGTATCACCTCAGTGGCTTTCAATAAATAAAATTCACAAAGCCATGATCTTCATAAGGTTCTGCACAGAAGAAAAAATGGCCAAAATAAATGTTAATATTCTTAGATATGGCAAAATTTGTGAAGGAACTTGACAAAGACCAAGCACATAGCATTCTATATACAGCCAATGACCTAGCAGATAATCGTCAGATAAAATAAATGTAAGGCGATGTATATGGTGGAAAAGGTCAGAATGGTAACAAGGATATGTTACTCACTAACTTTAATAAATAATCAAAGGTCATAAAATGGTAACAAGGATATTACTCACACTAACTTTAATAAATAATCAAAGGTCATAAAATAATCAAACATTGATAATTTGCTACTTATACTCAAAGAACCAGAGTTGGCTCTTCAAAGTTGAAGATATATATTCTGCACTTTAAACTTTTGGTGACAAGGCAATATAATCAAAGACATTTAATACTACAAGCTTCTCACAATAGTGAGTAAGTTTCTATACAGCAAAAACCTTGTTGGACAAGGCATGTAATGTAGTACTGAGCATATGCCATATGTTCTGGACACTGGACGGGTGGATTAATGGATATAGGAAGGAAAATACTCAAAATCTTGGAGTTGAGAAAAGAGGACAGGGAGAGGTTTAATACAACTTAGACAAGTTATTTTAAAGATACCATAAAAATGTCATTAGAGACTAATAAAAAGTATTGATAAATTGTAGCAATGGTTCCCAAAGTTTAAAATAATGCATTAAAATAATCTGGATGGTTTATTACAATAAAAATCGTTAGGCTTAATTCCCAGAGTTGTTAATTTAATATGTCTGAGGTGTGGGATGTGGGGTCAAGAATCAGATTTCTGACAAGTATTATGGTGATGCTAAGGCTGCTGGTCTAGTAACCTCATTTTGAAAAGCACTCAGTCACTTAGTCATCTTAAAAATAAAAAAAAAGAAAAGCTTATGGAAAAAATCATGCTGTTGTTTCTTTATTTCCTTTTATGAGTAGCTATTTATAAAAATATAAACATTATTTATGTGAAATCACTGAAATTCCATTATGTATAGGTCACTTATTTTCTGTCCCTGAGTGAAAACATGAGGAATGAGCTTCTGACACCAAGTAAGATCCAGTAATTTTCATCATTTGCTTTGTACAAGTGCCTGTCTCCCAGTTCCACTGTTGATTCCTTACCTAGAGATGTCAAATATTGCAGTCACAGAGCATTTACCTAAGAAAGGTTCTAGGGTCTCAGTAATGCAACTGATCACTATTTTAAGGGACCCAATTTTAAAATTTCAACTATCTTTTGTGCTACTGCTATATGTCAGATACTTTGATCTTTGATGGGCAATCAAAAATAAAACATGCCATTTTAAGGAGCTCATATTTAATATAAAGAAGCATGAAAGATAGATAATGAAACAATTATACCTGTGAGACAAATATTACAAGTCAAAATCATATAGCTATATCTTAGAGAGAATGTTTAATAGTCTGTGTTGCAGTTATATAAAAATCTCAGAAAAAAAATAACTTGAGCTTAGTCCTAAAGAATGAGAAGACATATACCAGATAAACAAAAAGTTGTAAAAGTTATTCCAGGGATCTTATTGTAACAAAATCAAGGCATGGAACAGTCTAAAATGTCATGAAATACCAAGTATACTTGTAGAGGTAAGAATGGAGTAAGATTAAGAACTGAACAGAGAATTTTATGCAGGTGGTGATGAGGGGCTATAATACGAGGGTACAGAGGAGGCTTCTACTCTAAAAGGAAGTGACTGAATCAAGATTATTCTAAATGGAAATAAAGTATTTGTAAATAGGGAAGGGAGGAGAGGGGGTAAAGGGATGGCAGGCATAAGGGGAAAAAAATGAGAACCAAAACCTGTCATGTAAAGGTACAAGATCCCAAAGATGAATGTAACTGTACTGTACACCTAAAGTGTACCAATAAACTCAATGAGAAAAAAATAAATTAAAAAATTTCCTTAATCTCAAATATCGCTTTTAGTGTGTATCAGAATATAGAGGACAAGTAATCTTTAAACATATAACAATAAAAATGGTATTTAACTGATATTTTAAGTCATCCTTTTGGTTTTACTCGTGTAAACTCACCATCATTATTATGTTTGCATAGACTATCCTATTTATTTTTTTAAATTTCCTCCCGTAAATTTAGTTAATACAGAACACTTCAAAGTATTCTCATGTCCTAACACAGTCAAATAAAACATCAAACATACACACACACATTTATTTATTTATTTATTTTTGTTGGTAGTGGGGATCGAACTTGGGACCTTGTGCTTGCAAGTTAGGCGGTGGCCCCACTGAGCTAAATCTCCAGCTATATTTTTCATTCCTTATCTAAAGCTTAGATAACTTCAGGTTTGAGCATGGTGATATTGTGGATTACTTATGCTGGCTCCAAGGCCAACTTGCATTGCTGCTCATGATTTATTCCATGTCATCATCTCATCAGCCGTCCAGATACCTAATACTATTTAATGAAGGCCATATGTACATACTTTTTTCTAACAGAATGTCATAAAGTCAAAATTCTTACTAAAATTTACATTTACTGTTTTTTCATGATGTATTTAAACATTAAATTAGTTTTAAAAGAATTGCTATTCACAGAATAATTCTGGTTGTCAATTAGTATTCTTTGAGGGGGCTATAAGTTGGTATAGACATGTCCTGGTACTTTTCAGGTAACATTAATATTTTAAAAATTGTTCTATCATCAGGGTTGTATTTTTACTTTAAGAGATGAATACTTCCCTTTTCTTAAAATCAGAAAATTTCTTAGACTCCTAAGCTAGATTTTTTATACTATGAAAAATCACTTTAATATACAGCAACTCAAAGATTTATATCAAAACAGTTTATAGACAAATTTTTTTAAAAAACTAAACTTTGAATATTTAATAAAAAGGGATTTTATGATACTTGAATTAATAGGATCCAGTGAATTAAAATTAGAATTAAGTAACATTTTTTCACTTAAAATTTTACTAAAAAGATGTTAAGTCTGCATATTATGTAGATTTTTTTCATTTTATTTATTAACATTAGGGTATCTTTTCAGCTAGTTTTTAGATCTTGATAGATTCATCAAATTGATCATTTAGTGATTTATGGTGAAGAGGTATAAACTACAGTCAAGTCCTGTGTTACTTAAAAACATGAAGCCAAAAGTTAAATTTCTCAGATTGGGATTGTTACAACTTCAAATTTAAAACATTTTACTGAGTATATTGCTACTAGTAGTATTCTGAAAAGCATGCATAAGCAAACAGAAAATAGTTTTTATCAGTAACTAATTAAATAAAATAAATGTTACTAAATTTTTAGCTTAACAGTCATAAAAGATCAGGTTGTATTCTAAACCTGAATTGTAAATTATTTTTATCCATTTTTGCAACTTTTTGTAACCAACTCTTAAAATTAGGTCTTCTGGGTATGGTGGCACACACTTTGTAATACCAGTACTCAAGAGACTGAGGCTGAGGATAGCAGTGAGTTCGAGGCCAGCATGGGCTACATAGTGAGTTCAAGGTCAGCTTTGAATTATGTGCCTCAAAAAAGTAAATAAAAAACAAACAAACAAACAAATAAAATTAGGGATAATGCTCAACTAGGATACTGATTATAGGGATTTTAAACATTCTCAAAACTGAAGAAATTTGAAATATATATAGAAAAAATTTTTAAAAAATCCTAGGGTCAGAGGATTTGGCAGCATTGTCATAAAAAAGTCTAAAATATTTACCAATTTGAAAGTGACAAAGAAATCCATAGGGATAGCAGATTTTTTTTTCACAAGCCATCTCCTAACACTCAAAGTATGAGAACTGAAAAGTCATATATTAACTCCTTGGTAAAACATTTCTTTCTAATGAGTTCCATACACAATGGTGATATAAGACATGGGGACAGTTGACACGAATACAATGATACTTAGAAGATGAGATAACAGATGCTGTATTTTCTTATTCTGCTCTTCCTGCAGAGAGGTATTAAAAATTTGCTATAATCTGTGGCCAGTAACCATGGGGTAGTTGTAGCCTATAAGATTGCATTTAGTCCTAAGCATAATTTTTTACTAAAAAAAAAATAAAATAAATAATTTAATTAACATGTTCTATTTGATGAGTTCTCGTTACTATACTTTCCTTTAATTCCTTAAAAACGGTTTCCTTTAATTCTTTGAATATAGCTTTTTTGAAGTCTACTGAAAAGAGTGGGCCTTCTCAGAGACAGTTTCCAGAAATCAATTTTTCATGTATATGGGTCATCCTGTTATGTTTCTTTAAACATAATTTCTCAAAATGTTCATCAAAAATTAGATATTTTGGATAAAACACAGCATCCCTGGATTCTGATCTAAGAATCATCATCGTCATCATCATCATCATCATCATCATCATCATCGTTTATGACTTGCCAGGCCCTGATGCTGCAGACTATGTTTCCATCACACTGTGCAGTTTCTGGTATCTCTTGCCCCCTTTAAATTTTTTTTTTTCCATTTTTAAGCCTGGTTTAGCATGGCTTAGTGGCCAGAAAGTGATTGGTTAGAGTCAGCGAGGAAGGTTTCCATCTTCTGCCAATGGATCTATGTGTGGCTTGAGGAATTATTAAAAGTTTATCCAGTTTATAAGTCTCCCTATATTTTACTTACTGCCTTCATTAAGTTTCACATTCAGTCCTAAGGATTCTCTTCAAAAACTAAGTACAACAGACTTATGCATACACATAATCTTCCAGAAAACCAGGACAAAGTAGAACTTTATCAAGACCAACTTTGGCTATTTTGTCCCTGGATTTTTATGGCTTGTCCTAAGTATTAATACTTCCCAGATTGTCTACCAGTAGGATCATTGTTCTGTTAATGGACTTGCCCATGGTCTTGTCCATATAAGGTCAGTTTCTTTCTGACAGCACAGCTATTGCAATATGATTGCCTTAGGAAAACTTTTGGAGTTGGAAGTGAAGGGTGGGTAGGATGGAAGCTCTAGGCTGAAATACCACAGACTACTATTGTTCTTACTGAGACTCAGTAGATTTTCTAGACAAATGCTTCCCAATTTTTATATGCCTTTGGTCATATAAACATATAAACAGTTCTCCAATTATTGTTTTTCATAATTCTCTCCAGTTTTAGAGGAGATGGTTGAGTTCCTCATTCAGTTATTCGAGGTTCACATAAATTTCCTTTCAATCTCCTTGTCCATGAGTATCTGCATGGGGGTCACCAAAAGCCAGGACCCAAACTTCCTCTTGACATACGCTGATGGAAACCATCAAGGACAGCAAAAGGGTGATTACACTGAGTTCTCTCATCTTTGGGTTCTCTCATTTTTGATAATGAAAGTTAAATAAGATTGACCTCTTGGTCTTGCATATAATAGGAGTCGGGCATGAAAATAAAGTAATATTGCAGTCACTGTATTAGTTTCTGGAACTAGCATGAAAAACATTCTTAGAAAAAGTTTTCAAGGTGTGACCACTACATTCTTTTGGTCCAAGTGTGTATATAAGAATAGCAAGAATTCTAAAGTCATCTCAAAAATATGCGAGCAGAATCTCTCTGATTCTCTCCCTTAATTCCCTCAATAGAAAGTTCCGAGGGATTGAAGGTCATTACACCACCTGGTGAACTGGAATAAGAATTAATATTGAGGTTTTTGGCAAACTTTTAAGTCAAGATCAGTGCCTTTAAAAATGTGGTCCTTATAGGGCTGGGGATTTAGCTTAGTAGTTCCACTGCCTGCCTCAAGAGCACAAGGACCTGAGTTCGATTCCCAGTACAAAAAAAAAAGTGGTCCTTATATTATTATTATCTGTACTAAAATTATCCATCACATTTCCTAAAATGCATATTTTTAGGTCTTACCTATATATAGGAATCAGAATGGGGAGGGGCAGAAGGTAAAAATCTAAATTTTTAAGAAACAGACCAAATAATTATGTAACCCAAAGTTTTAAAATCAGACCCATTTCTATATCAACCCTATTCTCACTTCGCATCCAAATCTCAATTAGTTATATAGATTCAGCACCTCAAATTGGGATAGAAATTCATATGACAATCTAGGGAATAGCATTCTAAGAACAACAAAGGATTAAAAAAAATTCACTGAGGAGTATGTTCTTTGAACTTTTATCTCCTCTGTGGATTGTTTCCCCTTCAAATTCATCTGTAATATATAATTTACCTTAATGAGAGGCTCAGTTTGCCTCTTTCTTGGGAGGGAGGAACTTTGGGAAAGGAGGTGATATTCAAATTTATATTCTGAAGGGGGGAAAAAGAAGATATTCTTCTATGTTTCCAGATGGTCCAACATAGCTTACCATGATAAAGATCAGAGATGTAAAACCATCAGAAATAAAATATGTGCCATTATTTGGTGCTCTTATATTTGTTTTTCAGGGATCTCAGGAAGATAAAAGCCACACAATAATCAGTAATATAACATGGAAAGATCTAGAAAAGCTTTGACTATATACTCACAATTTATAATTTTTCATTTTGAAATTGATTGACAGAGCATTCAAGTCTTCATGGAATTTGCTAGTGTAACCTTGCAAAAATGTTATTACCAACATTTCTGAAGTTTTAGGCTGGAAGAACAGAGTTTGCTCTTATGTCACTTAAACAAAGATTTACTCAATTTCTAAAATTATGAAAACTAATTTTTAAATTAGAATAAATGCATAGTGAAATATGTGGATTTGCAGGGCAGCCAAGTGAAATCTTAAACAGGATGAAAAGCACTGCCACTAATTGGCTAAAAGCTTCATAATGCAAACATTAAAATATTTTAATACAATGTATATAATTAAAAATAAAAATTATCAAGTATCTTTTTGGGTCAAAATTTCCCACAAATTCAGTAGACTGAAAAACAGGTTATTTATACACCATTTAGGAGGAAGAGCTCAATGCACAGCATCAGCTATGCTTGTACCTGTACTCGGGGTCACTGTCATATGCAGAGTCTCTGTACAAAAGACCTCTTTTCATTTCTAGTTCATCTTCTTTCTCTGGGTCTCTCTCATCCTGAAAAATTTAATAGGTTTTCATTAATTTACTTTTTCATAGCTTTCTTATGCTGCTTAGTTTCTTTGGGAAATACTCTTCTTTATTATAGAATATTAAATCAAATGCTTCTATATCTTTAAAAAAAGAAACAAAAGAAAATTTATCATCCTTTTAAATAGAACTACATAGCTTTACTAAAATTTCATTAGCAATGCTTACCAAAGACTAGGCAGATATTTCTCGAACTGACAAATGAATGGAAACCGATGAATCAAGATGTGTAAATTACTAACATCTTACAAATGGCTACATGAACTAAAAGCTTGTACTTGCTTGTCTTCATTTTGTTTTGTTTTATTTGTTTTTTGGTACCTTTGGGACCTTGCCCTTGTGAAGCAGGGAGTGGAACCACTGAACCAAATCCCCAGCCAAAAGATTGTACTTGCATTCCAGGGCATAATTTTTTAAGAGAACTGTGTAGATGCAAATATACATCTATGACTTACAAAGCCAAAATGCAACAAAACAAGCCAGAAAAGGCAAAAGTGAAAGGTAAGTTAACTGGCATGAAAATTAATAGCTACCCTCATTGGAGGGGCAGCACGTTCTTAACTTCTAACAGACACATATAAGGACGTAGTTGTTGTTGTTTTTTGTTCCTTTGGTTTTGAGACGGGGTCTCTTTATGTAGCCCAGAGTGGCCTTGAACCAGTGATCCTCCTATCTCAGCTTCCTGAGTGCTGAAATTACAGTTGTGCACCACTACAGCAAGCTCATACAGGACATAAAAAATAGGGTTCTGAGACATAATTTTGTAAGCTATATAATTTACAATAAGTTCATATGCATGGCCATTTTATATAATACAACATCAAATATCTTTCTCAACTACTTAGTCAATACCTTAGTTCCTTAGTCAAACAAGAACAGAAATGGAGAGAATAACAAAAAGAACTAGTAAGTACAAATACAGATTGGCATTAATAAGGAGCTCGTTTCCTTTATGCTGAATAGATTATGAAGAAAAATGATTTTCTCATGACTTACTACTATGAAGAGGACATTTACACTGTAAAAATGTGAGAAATAAAAAGGCAAGTCTAAAAATCACAAAATGTGCATACAAATTTAGAATTATTACAGCTTCTAGGTTTTATCATTGTAAAGTAACTCCATTTATTTCTATTGCTGCTTTTTTTCTCCCTCAGTTTTTTTATCTGTGAATAATAAAAACATAAGTAAGGCAATTTTCCTTTAGTTATTACTTGGATGGTATTTATTTGTCCTTTTATTTTAAAACTTTTAGAGTTTAAATTGACTAGCATAGAGCTGGAGGTGGCACATTTTTATCCAGTCTGATAAGTCAAAGAAGTGGAATATTTCTTCTCTTAATGCCCCAGAAAATGTAAAGGGTTACAAATAAAGTGTATGTTGTGGTAAAAGAAATAACTAAACAAAATAGGTTACTTAAGAGTTAGAACACAATCACTAAAACTACTCATGGAGAGCACTGATAAATCAAGGATATCAGAGCACCCATATAAATCAAGGATATCAAGGAAGGTTATGTTCCCCCTCCCCACTAAAAACAGTTTTGTAAGTCCTTGCAAGATTATTCATTTTAAAGGGTCAAGCTGGGGGATTTAGTTCAGTGGTGCCATGCCTGCCTCCTAGGCACAAGGTCCCGAGTTTGATCCCTGCTACCACAAACAAATATATATATACATATATATATGTTATTTATATATAAATAAAAATAAAAGGTCAAGTTATATAACAGCAAAGAGGCAACACACATCCCACCTTTTCATAAGCTATTAACTATGTATTTGTATCATTTTCTTGCTTTATTACATCCCTCACAATTTTTCTACTGAAATCTGGAGATTTTAATCATAGCATGACATGGCATATCTCAAAATCAAGTTTTTTCATTAATCTTCTGTTCTATCCATTGTTAAACACAGTGTATTGAAGTCTCCCTCTGTTTTTGCTTGTTCTCTTTGGGGGCTCCTTTTAGGTATATAAATACTTGTAATGTAATATATTTCTGGTGGTTTGGCCAGAAGCACATTTAATTTCAAGGGATTTGTTCCAAGGATGCAAGATTGAGCTAACACTTGAAAATCAAGCAATTCACTGTTTTGTTTTGTTTTGTTTTTCCTGGTACTGGGGATTGAATTTGGGACCTTGTGCTTGCAAGGCAGTTGGTGGCACCATTGAGCTAAATCCCCGGCCCCAATTCACTACATTTTGAAAGGAGAAAATACAGATGATCATCTCAATAGATGTAACATGCATTTATAATGAATATTTAAAAAACACTTAGAAAGTAAGGAATAGAAAGATCTTCCATAATTTGACAAAGATTATCCAAAAATGTCTCTAGCAAGCACCATACTTAATGTTGAATTATGAAAGGCTTTTCTCCTTTATAGATAATGTACTGTCTATTGTCGCTTCCACTCAGTATTGTTTTGAAGGGCATTTCCAGGTTAATACACTAGCGGGAAGAAAGTCTGAACAACATGGTAGGTGATACTCATATGTGAAAAAATTAACTCTAATTCAAATCTCACATTATGCATAAAGATCGATCCAGATGCACTATAGATCAAATATAAAAGGCAAAATGACAAAATAATTCACAAATTGGATCATATCTTCAGAACAATGAGTTAGTTAAGTTTTCTTAATATAGGGTTAAGAAAATATCAAAAAGAGAGAAAATATGGGGGTTAAGAATATATTAACCAAACACTGAGGTATATTTCATTAAGAACATCAGTTCAAAAAAAGACTTTGAAGATCTCCAGCACTGTTCATTAAATTCTATTATGAACCTAAAACTGATTGGAAAAATAAAGTCTATTTCTGAAAATTAAAAAAACCTGACATGTAATAAATTGGAATATATTCATAATATAAAACAAACCCATCATAAAACATCCTGGCAATGAGAACAGAAAAGCATAAGAGATTGCTGTAGTTTGGAACTGGAATGCCTACCAAAGGCCCACATGTTGACTGGTCATCAGCGTGGTGCTGTTGGAAGGTGTGCAAACCCTTAACAAGAGAGGCCCAGTGGGACATATTAGGTTCTTGGGTGTGTGCCCGCACACTGGATGTTGTCTTCTTGTTCTGTCTTTGCATCCTGCCTGCCATAAGGTGAGCAGCTCATTTGATCCACATCTCTCTTCCATGTTGTTTTCTGTCACCACAGGCCCCAAAACAATGGGTCAACTAACCATGAATTGAAAGCACGAAAACCGAGAGCACAAATAGACCTTTCCTCTTTTTACTGTGATTATATCAGGTATTTGGCTGCAGTGATAGAAAGTAAACTAACAAGAGATATAAGGGTAATCAACAGTCTGGAATCCCTGAAAAGACAAACAAATAAGTATAAGAGATAATAAATGAACACTTTCTAAAACTGAAGAAAAAACTACAAATTTAAGAAACATCACAAATGCTACACAGAAACAAAGAGAATTTACAATTAAGGGTGCAATATTAACTTGTAGAAAATGAAAGACAAAGAAAATATAAAACTACTTAAAGAAGGGAATTATAGGAAGATGTTAGTATAGAGTTTGGGGGGCAAAATAATAGCTTCCCAAGGTATGCAGGCTTTAATACCCAGAATAGAGGATTTTTCAGGTTGGATTAAGGTTCAGAATCTTGAAGTGGCTCGATTACCCTGGATTACCTGAGTAGGTCCATCTAAATCACATGGGTGCAGTCAGCCGAAGGTGACTTGACTGAGAGAAAGGGAGATGGAATGCTGCCACCATTGCAGACAGAAAAAGGGATAAAGAGATCACAACCCTATTGACAATGCTGATTTTAGACCAGTGAGGCCTGTGTCAACTTCTGATCTAGGTAAATATAAGGTTACTAATTTGGGATGATAAGTTTATTATCATATATATGGCAGCAATAGAAAAAGAATATACAGAGGCACAAATCAAAAATTATTTGAGGACTACATGGAATAATTCATGGCAGACCAATGCTCCTGCTGAAAAATGAGAAAAGCCTGATTAAAATTATACTTTAAATGTATTATAAAGGTGAAGAAACTATGAAGATTATAGATACTAAAATTTCAGAAGGGAGAATATGAAAATTAGAAGTAGAGTAGACTGATTATGCTGTTTTCTGGAATAATATAAATCAGGGGTTAACAAACACTTCTTCTAAGGGGGCAGAGAGTAAACATATTCTAATCAATGACAACATGTGAATAAGTGAACATATCCATGTTCCAATAAAACTATATACATTCAAACAGCAAGAATTTGCCTCTGGGGCACAATTTGCTGACTCCAACTGTACATGGCAGTAAAAACGAAACACGCGCATGTGACAATGACCGGAGAAACAAATCAGGTATAAAATAATATTACATGATTTTGAATACTTAAAACCACACAGACTAATATATATTTTGTTATATTTCAGAGTAGTGGGAAGCTTAGTGACTGACAAGAGGCCTCAGAGGCATTTTGGGGTTCTCGTAACATAACATCTCTGACCCAGACGCTGTTCACATATGGGATCACGCTGTGAGCATTAATTTTGCTGTGTACCTTAGGATTAAAGATAAAAATACAAAACTAACTAGAATGGTAATACTAAAAAAATCATGGAAAAATCTACAAAAATTGATGTGCCAAGATAGCCCCGTGGATCACCAACTATGAGGAGATGGTAACAAGCATTTGGTAGTTACGATAAAAAATAAACAACGGAGCATCTGAGAGGTGGCAGGTTTGAAATAGCAACAAGAACAAAAACTCAGGGAAACCACTGTACACAAGATAAAGGCCTTCACACTTGCACAGGGATGAGGACAAAGGGTTTATAGTCAATTCTGAAGGAGCTGGAGTTGCCTGGGACCCATTAATTCACAAAACTAACATGTTGAGTTGCTTTTCAGAATAAAAGTTTGCACTGAGTATAAACCACTGAGAACAGAATCCAAATTGAACAGGGAACTAAAAGGAATGGCA